TACCCCCACATGTGTTCCATACACCTTACCTGCATGCCCCCCCATGTGTTCCATGCACCTGTCTGCATGGCCATACCCCCACATGTTTTCCATACACCTTACCTGCATGCCCCCCCCACGTGTTCCATGCACCTGCCTGCATGGCCATACACCCACATGTGTTCCATACACCTTACCTGCATGCCCCCCACACATGTTCCATGCACCTGTCTGCATGGCCATACCCCTACATGTGTTCCATACACCTTACCTCCATGCCCCCCCCACGTGTTCCATGTACCTGTCTGCATGCCCCCCCACATGTTCCATACACCTTACCTGCATGCCCCCCCACACGTGTTCCATGCACCTGTCTGCATGGCCCTACTCCCACATGTGTTCCATACACCTTAGCTGCATTAGCAGACTGTCCCATCCCCATAGTGGGCCACAAGCTCTTTATTCGCACAGTCCCCTCGGTCGTTCTCTAGCGGTTACAAGGCCAAGGTGAGAAGAGTCATACATTACCCAGACGTACTGCAAGCACCTGTTGGATCTCAGGTCCTCCGGTCTGAAGAGGAAGGCGAGAGGCTTGTAGGCACCCAGCTTTGGGGGCCTGGGGGACTGGCATGGATGGGAACCGTGGTGTGTTTGAAGGAGGGGGTGCAGACACTGCTTGGCATTTTAGAAAAGCCTTGTTGGATGCTGTCTGCTGCCTTGCCCATGTGACTACGATTGTGTAGGTGAACAGAGCCCTTGAAGACATGCTTACTTTCTCTTCTTCCAAACCAAGAACACCAGAAACAGATCAACCCAGAAACGTTCAGAGACTTGTACAACTGCTGGAAGGAGACGGAAGCCGAGGCGCAGGAGGTCAGCCTGCCCGCGGCAGTGATGGGGCACCTGGACAAGAACGAGTGTGTCTACAAGCTGTCCAGCTCCGTCAAGACCACCTGTGGCGTCGGCAAGATTGCCATGACGCAGAAGCGCCTGTTCCTGCTTACCGAAGGGAGACCCGGCTACGTGGAGATCTCCACCTTCCGGAACATCGAGGTGAGGGTGATAGCTGGGGGCCTGGGACTCTCCTGGGGCTGACCACCTGGGACTGACCACTTAGGACTCACTGGGGGCCAACCACCTGGACTCTACCGACTATGGACCCCCCCCACAAGGCACTCACCTGCCAAACCCCAGTATCCTCACCATAGTAGTGGTTGGTGCTAGGACTTGTTCGTAGGATTGCTGTGTAAAATGCTCAGACTCCAAGGGTCCCTCCATCCCCGAGTCTCTGGGAGGGGAGAAACAGAAGCAAAGCAGGCAGGTGTGTTCCTGACCTTCCAAGGAGAGAAAACGGGAGCTCGTCCTAAGCCACTGGCGGAGAAACTGCCGTGTGCCAGCGCACAGTTTCTGACTTTCCCGGCTGGCCTAGCTGTTAATTTTAGAGCACTGTGAATACCTGTTAATGAGTTGTTTAATTAATTGTTGTTGTTAGGTGCTGTTGAGTTGGTTCCAACTTACAGTGACCCTACATTAACAACAGAATGGAACATGGCATGCCGGCCCTGCTCCATCCTCATGTGGAGTCATCGTTACGTTTAAGCCCTTGGTTACTGCTCTTGTCTCCGTCTCATGGAATGTCCCCCTCTTTCCCCTGACCGTCCACTTTACCAAGCTGGATGTCTTTCTCCAGAGGGCCCTGGTTAAGCATAACCCACCAGTTGCTCCATGAGAGAAAGATCAGGTGGTCTGCTACGTAAAGATGAAAGCTTGGAAGCCCAATGGCAGGTCCACACTCACAACCGACTCAATGGCTCCTAACAACGTACCTTTAAAGCAGCCATTTCCCAGTTGAGACATTTTGAATTTCGGTCTTGATTCACCTGCTACTTTACATTTTCCCAGATTTAAGGGGAATGTGAGAGAGACACATTAGATAGCGCTAATATTTTGTATAATCATCAAATGCATATACATAGGAGTCCAGGGATAAGACCTCAGCTACCACCCGGGGTAAGGGCCCACCACGCCTCCCTCCGCCCCTTCACCTCTGTCCACAGAAAGAGCAATAGCTGAGGGTGCGGAAGATGAAGCATCTTCGTGCGGAGGAAGAACCCACCTGGGTGGGTTTCTGTGGTCACATTCCAGGCCCCAGAGCCCCCATGACTCCCAGGGGCCTGCAGCCTCTGACCTTCTTCATTTAGGGTCTCCCTTCCAAGCGTCCAGCCCTCCAGCCTTGACCTCACTCCCCACCCTGACTGTCCTCTGGGCTGGTCCCCAGGGCTCCTGGCCATACCCTGTTTGCCCCTTCACCCTTTGTGTTAGCACATGAGCCCGAGCTGACCCCTTTGGACCATTCCGGCTCCTTCCAGACCATTCTGCACCACCCCTTTCAGAACCCGAGAACCATTGGGACGCATGACCTTTAGCATGTGCTAGCCCCCCCACCCCCCTTTAATCTCAGACACTCCTTGACTGTTTCTCTCCGGAATTGAAATGTTTTTATGTGTGTGTGGTGTTACTGAACCTGTTCTGTTTCTGCCTTTACAGGAAGTCAAAAATACCACAGTAGTGTTCCTGCTCCTGAGAATCCCCACTTTAAAAATTAAAACGGTGTCCAGAAGAGAAGTCTTTGAAGCAAACCTTAAAACAGAGTGTGACCTGTGGTACCTCATGGTGAAGGAGATGTGGGCCGGGAAGAAGCTGGCAGATGACCACAAGGTCTGAGAACCGGGGCTGGCACCCCAGGCTGGCTTCATTGTACACAGGTCCTTGTAATGCTCACACTTAGGACGTGGTTCCCTAAGTAGAGCAGGTGGGTTAGCTTAGGTCTCCTCACAGCCCTCGGGAGTGACATGGTTAGATGTCACATGGAAGGCCTTGTGGTCTGAGGAGGTGAGCATGCTTAGTGAGCCAGAGGGTGGTATGCGAGACCTGAGGACCACTGGCCACGTTCTGGGGAGGGGAGGAGTGGAGCTGGGCAGGTAGACTGTCCATCTGACAGCTCTGAGTTGGGCATTTCGGCCATACCTGTTGGGAATAAACTAACTTTGCAGGAGGAGGGTGTGGTGGAGCAGGCAGAGGGCAGGGTTCCTTCCACAAAGTACTGGGAACGCCCTCGGATTGGTATGTTTCGTTAACATTGGGCAGAGCTGAAGGCCTTGTCAACAGATAGAGGCGAGCCATGCAAAGTAAGACAGGAGCCCCCTTAGAAAAACAGGTGAAGACTGAGACTAGGCCAGCTGTGAGAGGGGTGAGAGTAAAGACCACCAGTGCCCCATTCATAACCAGAGAAATGCACACTAAAAAAATGCTGGTCCCGTTGGCAAACATGAGAAGCAATAGACTGTCCCGAGCAGAGCGGCGGCTACTGGGATGGTGAGCTCTCAGTTAGTGGACAGGTTCAAGGTCAGGAGCATTGGAGTGGACTAGCCATTGGATTTGACTGCCCAGAACCCTTCCCCTGTACTTAGCACTATCAGTGGACTTAGACGGAGGCCTGCAGGCTGTGGGCAGCTCTGGTTAAGTCACGTTTTATCGGGGACACAGCCAGCTCGCTGCTCTCTGATGGGACGTCTGGGGCAGCTCTTGTGCTACAATGCAGAGCTCCACAGTCGAACAGAACCCCGGGGCCCCCGAAGCCTGTAGTACTTTCTGCCCGACTCCCCCTGGTGTGATGTCGTTGTCCTTGTTGGCAACAACTCATAGCGACCCTGTACGGGGTTTCTGAGGCTGTAAATCTTTGTGGGAACAGAAAGCCTCATCTTTCTCCCTCAGAGTGAGAGTCTGCTAGTCTGTAGTCCAGTGCTTACCCTACAAAGCCACCACACTCCCTGACTCTTAGTGTAAGTGATTCATAATTGTTTTAATGAGGGAGTCAAGAAAACCCGCGTGACAGCAAACCCCAAGTTAGCCTTCATCCACACTGTTTCATGTTGCTTTGAGAAAACTCGTCTTTAAAAGTAGTGTTTTATGCAACATGGCAAAGCCTTGTGACGAAGTGATTTTAGGGCGTTGTGTTGAAATGATTGTACTTCTCACTTAGGACCCTCAGTACATCCAGCAAGCACTGACCAATGTGCTGCTGATGGATGCTGTGGTCGGCACGTTGCAGTCTTCCAGCGCCATCCAGGCTGCCTCCAAGCTGTCTTATTTTGACAAGATGAAGAATGAAAGTAAGACAGACTTGGGTGTCCCCTGGCCATGTGGTCCCCAATAAGGCTTCACTGATTTTATCTGGCTGACAGTGACGGTGATTTTAGCAAGTAGAACCAGTCCCTGGTGTCACGGTTTCTCCCTGTGTAGATTGTTTTCTGAAGTCTAGGAAATAGTCAGGCAGAAGAATAAGGCTGGGCATCATTTTAGCTACTTTACTTTGTTTCCATTTTTAAATGACCCCCTGAGCCAATTACCTTGTGGTTTGCATAAACAAAGTAACCATGACAGGACCTCAAACTCCAACCCACTTGCTGTCCAGGGGACCCTGACTCACAGCACCCCTCTGTGTTGCGGAACAGAACTGACCGTAGGGTTTTCTTGTCTGTGATCTTTATGAGAGCCGATGGCCACGCCTTTCTTCCACGGCTCCGCTGGGTGGGTTTGAACCACCAACCTTTTGGTTAATAACCAAGTACAGAATGTTTGTACCACTAGGACCTTGAAGATTTGTATTCTTAACGTAAGTTCACGCAGTTAGCATCATTCATTACATGGAGTGAAACCAGCGAATTGGTTTATAAAATTATGAAACATGAATGAACAAAGTAGCAAAACAAATTAAAAAAAAAAAAGTTTGGTTGTGTGTGTGGCATTGTTGCCCTGTGTTGCCTCTGGATTAGAAAGCGCAAACCCACTAGATGCTGCTTCATTTTGGTTCATGTTCCTCCCAAACTGACACCTGGTGCTCAGAGTCCTGTGTCCCCTCTCCGAAGCCTCGGTCACAGTTGGGGTGGTCAGGGCCTGCACGGAGGGGCGTGAGGAGGGAGCCCACCGTAGGAAGAGTCAAGTAGACTCTGCGTGCCAACTGTTTACATCCTACAGCCAGATCTGTCTGATGCCACTAGTCAAGCCTCAGTTCCTCTGTAAACAGTTTACAGCCTCCTGGTGATGCATAGATGAGTGGTCACCCGTCACTGCCCACTGTGTCCCCCCATGGCAGTGGGGGGAGGGGGGCGGTCCTCCACGAAAACGCCCGCTAACAAGATGAGACAAACTTTCTCACGTGTCTGTCCACTGAGGTGGGCACCTGACTGAGGCCTTGGCTGAAGTCTGTAGTTGTGGCTTCCTCCCGGTTCCCTGGTATCTGGTCGATGAGGTCGATGTCCTGGTCGACCTCCCCAGATCCAGTGTCTTCAGCAAACCTTATAGTGGTTTTGCAGGTCAGTTTGGGGGAGAGCAGTGTCATCCCCTCCCAGTGCTGTGAGGGGGATGGGAGACGGAGGGCTGGGTCATGGCCAGGAGGACAGGTTATCAATGCCCAGCAGAGGGGACCATGGCAGAGTGATTGCGGAGAGGGGGAGGTTTAAGGCCTGGTCTCGGTAAGGGAGGAGGCCGGGGTGTATCTGGCCACAGTTTTGGTTGTCAACAACTAGAAGGTAGCTGCTAGAAACTAAGGCACCCTGGGACACAAAGGTTGGCAGTTCGAATCCACGTAGCGGCTCCACTGAAGAAAGACCGGGCAGTCAGCTCCAGCAGATGGAAGCCTGGGAAATCCTGTCCTGTGGGGTCTCTGTGAGACCCTGTAGGGCATTTCTACCCTGTCCTATGGAGTCACCGTAAGTTAGAAGCGACTCGATGGTACCCAGCAGGCATCTCTTATGGGTGAGGCCTGGGGTGCTGATCCTGGGGGGCACAGGGTAGTTACTGTTGCCACAGGAGAGCATTACAGGTGGACCTTGAAGAGATCGTGGGTTCAGGTCCAGACCACCGCTGAAAAGCAAATGTCACAAAGTGACATAGAAAAGCCATTTACACCATCTGGAGTTCATGCAGTAGCCAGTTGTAAGTGCCGACACGTCGGTGCCGACTCGTGGAGACCCAGTATAGGAGCTGTGAGGAGTAGTGAGTGGGTTCCAACTGCTGACCAGTTTTTACCCGGAGCACCAGCACTCTAAGTATACAGCAGCAGGGTGAAAAAGCTTGAAATATTGGGGAAAAGACCAGAAAAGGTCAGAGAGACACGCAGAGAGCACAGGCTGGACTCAGGGTGGCTGCCGACCTTCAGTTTGTTAGAACCCTGAGAACCAAGTCTGGTTAGAGGACAGACCTCGGTGCGAGCGGGGCTGTGTTTGGAGCAAAGCTCTCCGGTGCCTCATCCTTTTGCTGAACGAAGACGTCTGCCCACGAGGGACTATAACACCTGGCTTCCAGCTCCCGCTTCACGTGTCTCAAGTTTTGAAGTTTCACCTGAAAGTTAATATCCTACAAAATGCAGACATTATGAGGCCATGGAGTAAAATCAATTTCATTGTGTCACATAAACAAAGGCGTCCTGGTGTGGCGCTGTAGGTAGGATATGCCCTCTAACTGCGAGGTCAGTTTGAGCCGAAAAGTCAGCAGTTCAAACCCACCAGCTGCTCCTCGGAAACCCTCGACGGCACTCAACAACAAGTAAAGTAATAGGCCTGGTGATGCAGAAGGTAAGTACTCAGCTGCTAATCCAGAGTCAGGGGTTCAGGCCCACCCAGCGCCTTCACAGAACAAAAGCCCGGTGGTCTAACCCCATAGAGATGGCAGCCTTGGAAAGCTGGTGGGCAGCTTGAGTGGCCTACAGGGGTGCAGTGGGCAGCAGCGACTAGAGGAAATGAGAACAGTAGTAAAGGATTTTCAAATGGCTTACCTTCCAGTGCCCATGGCTGTTCCAACAACCACCTTGGAGACTCTGAAACACAAGATTAACCCTTCAGCAGGGGAGACTCAGCCTCAAGCCATTGACGTCCTGCTGTACACGCCAGGTAAGAAGGCTGCTTCCTTAGAAAGGGCCTGCTGCTGAGTGTCCACTGAGTGAGAGAGGTCACTGGGACCCGGCGTGTTTGTGTTTCCTGAGGAGAGGCCCTGTGTGGCATAGTGGGTGCTGTCTGGGGGCCCGTGAGAGGCTCAGAAACGGGGTCACCCCTCCATTTGTACGGCAGTTCTGGGTGCACGGAGCACGTCCAGTCATGTCATCCCGCACTGCGGTTATGATTTAATCTGTTCCTGTTATCACTGCGATACTCTGATTTCATTGTCTTAGAAACTCTACCGGCATCTTCCGCTGACTGACCCGATCCTGCGACCGTAGGAGCCTCCATTCGGTTTTGTCTCATGAGACGGCAGTCTTGTAGCTCGCCACGAGTTGCGTTAGGATGATGAGGGGAAACCATAGGTGTTGGCAGGTGTCTACTTACAGACAAGGGCTCTGTTGTGCTGATGGTTTGTAACTGTCAAAACCCCTTTAATTCCGAGTGTAGAGTCTTGGGGCAGGCAAGGGTGGGCCAGAGGCTCTGTAGTGTTGGAAAACAAAGACACTTCATTCTAGACAGAAAAAGAACTGGAAAAATCCAGTGATGTTGTTCCAGTTCCTTCATTTCTGAAGTAATTAGCAGTAAGGTGCTGTAGGGAAGCACTGGGCTGCTCACCTCAAGGTTGGCAGTTCAAAACCATCAGCCCCTCCTAGGAAACCCTATACAGGGTCGCTGTGAGTCAGAACCCACACGACAATGCTTGACACCAACAACACTCATAGGAGGAGTCCTGGTGGCGCAGTGTTTAAGCACTCAGCTGCTAACTGACTGATGGCTGGACCCCATCATCTGCTCCGTGGGGAAACACTGAGGTGGTCTCTGTAATGACGACAGCCTTGGAAACCCTGTGGGGCACTTCTCCTCGGTTCCGTGCGGTCATGATGGGTGATTGGGCAATAGATTTGGCTTGGTTGTATCAGCATCGATGGACTCGTCATTCTCTTTTACTGCTATAAAATCGTGTTGTTGTATGCCATCAAGGTGGTTCTGATTCACAGTGACCCTGTATTGAGTTTCCAAGGGTGACTGGTGGGTTTGAACTGCTGACTTGGCAGTTACCAGCCCAGTGCTTTATACCACAGCGCCATGCCAGGGCCCATAAAACCATAAAACGTTTCCTAAACAAAACTATCAAACTATGAAGCTATTGTTTCTCCACATAGCTGCCATCTAGGTACATATGCTTTTTTAACAAAACTTTTTTATTGGAAGTGGTATGAAGGTTTACAGAGCAGATCTTCAGTTTTACGTCCAACAATTGAACACATTTTGTTTCATCTCGCTGATGGTGGTCCCTGCAAAGTGACATTCCACTCGCCCCAGTGTCCCCTGTTTCAACTCCTACCCTTGTGAACTGGGCTCTGGGAAATGCTGTCTTATTGATCTCAAGTGGTTGATAATTCTCCAATATTTGAGCCTCCCTAGTGTTCTTGAGTCCCTTGTAGATTTGTCTGTTGTTTGGCTGGAAATTGGGCTGTGAACGTCAGTTCAATTCCAGGTTTGAACTAAGGGCCAGACTTCCAGGTTCCACCAGTCTTTGACCAGTAAACCTCGTCTTTTTCATGATTTTGAGTTTTGTTCCATGTTTTTCTCTCACTCTCCCCAGGACCTTTTAATGTGATCATTTTCAGAGTAGTTGGTGGTAGCTGGGCACCTTCTAGTTCTGTCTCAGGGTCATGGACACTGATTTTTTTTTTTTTAAGGTTTTTATTGTGGATTGAGTGAAAGTTTTCAGGGCACATCATCGGTTTCACATTCAAACATTCATATACCTTGTTTCATTACATTGATTATAATCCCCTCCACATACCATCAGTTAACAGAGTTTCTCTCTATCCTCTTTAGCTTTTTTTTGGGAAAAACTTTGCCTTTTTGGAATTTACAGTCTCGGGTTTTAGGGAAGGTTTTACATTTATCTGTGGGTATCCAGGGCTCATGTATGGAATTACTAACCAGCATAACTGAATAATCAGATAAGGGACATTTTGCTATGTCTGCTAGATGGCTAAAGTCTGATCCTCAGAGCCTATGGTTTGGACGGTCAGCAACACTTGGGCCCACAGGGCCTTGAACTCCTGACCGGGTCTGCACGGTCTGCATCAGATTCCCCCTTATTTATTATTTGTTTAAGGGACGCTGCCTGTCTTAGGCGATGGACACTGATTTTTGACGCAGTCTCTTCACCCCTGTCCTCTGACAATTTAAACATGGAAGTTTTGCACTTCGTGTGGTAAAGAGAAGCTCGGTAGTAAAAGTCTGCCTGTAGCCGAGTTTTCCTTTCTTCACTGAACGCCCATAGGGTCTAGGAAGCAGAACCTTTCTTCTGATGATGCAGAGAAGATGCCATATTTTATCCTATTTGAGGCAGACCGCAGTGTACAAACCAAGGCTCCTGGGTTAATTGACTAGATTTCTTTTTCTTTACTGGTTATTTATGGTTTATAATTTTAAGAAAGTTTATTTTTATTTGGGATATACACAGCAAACCATACACCCATTGAACCATTTCTGCACGTCCAATTCAGTGGTGTTGAGGACATTCTTCAAGTCGTACCAGGAGCCTCCTTTTCCTTTTCTGAGTTCTTCCTCCTCCAGTAACATAAACTCTGTCCCCCGAGGCTCCTATGGAATCTTTCCAGTTGCTGTTGCCAATTTGAGCCAATACAGATAACAGTCCTGAAGGCAGACAGTCTTTTTATTGTGAAATGAGTGATGGTTTTACAGATGAACTCATCATCAGTATGACGTTCAACAAATCACACACTTGGTTTCATCTCAGTGATTGCAGTCCCCTCCCTGCCACCACGGGGACCCTGCTTCCTCCCTGGGATTCCTAGTTCCCGTCCACTCTCCTTCCCAGCCCTTCTCCACTTTGTTCTTAGGGAAATGTTGCCCTTTGGATCTGGAATGGTTGGAGCGTTGATGTTCCCCTCATCTACCTATCCACTGACGGGCTGGGGGTGCGTTCCGTTCCACACCTGAAGGGTGGCTGAGGGCCAGAGTCGTGGGCTCCTCCAGCCTCTGATCACTGTGTCTGTGGTTTTTATATAAATAATCTTGAGTTTTGTTCCATGATGTCTCCCACTCTGTCTGGGACCTTCTAATGTGGTCCCTTTCCGAGCAGTGGGTAGTGGTGGCTGGGCACTGTCTAGTTCTTCTGGTCTCAGAGTCGTAGGAGACTGGTGTTCTTGTGGTCCATGACTGATGTCAGGTGTCTTTACGTCTCGTCACTCTTCTTTCCTCTGCACGTGGAGAGACCGATAGTCGCACCTTGGATGGCCACTCATGAGCTTTCAAGATCCCAGATGTTAATCACTAAAGTTAGGATGTTTTGTGGACTAGGTGGGCATTGTCTTTGTGGAATATGTTATACCAGTTGACTGTGGTGTCCGCTGAGACTATAGTCCTGAACCCCCAGGCCCAGCATCTCATTGCCTAAAGGAGTTGTCACTTTGCCCCTGTATGCTTTGCCACATTCCTAGGTGTGTTTGCAGTAAGGCTAAATACCTGTGTACAAATACTTTCTGTCAAACCCTGATGTATTTGTGGGTGTACCCCCACACTCCCTCCCACACCCGTTCGTTCAGCCTGTGCACCTGTCTGTGTATCTACCTGGAGATCACTGGTGTTGCAAAGTTGTGTCTATAACACTATTTATCTCTATCCCCTTTAACCATTACATGCCTCCCAGTGTCTTCATTCTTCAAGGCAGATATTTTTGAAAATATATTTTGGTTTTAAGAAGACTCCAGGATTCATTTTTTGTTTAATGTTTTAGGATTATTTCAGGTCAGTAGTTTCAGAGCTCCATGCAGCATCCATGGTTCCAGAGGATCTAGATTCCATGCGAGTTGACATTCTGTTCTGTATCCACCCCTCTCCCCAGTTGATCAGGATTCTACAGAATCTTTGCTTAAAATCTTCCATTTGGTAGTCAGGCACCCTCGAGTTCTGGTCTCACGGCCGAGGAAGTGGCTGTTCATGGCTGTTCACGAGACTCATCACCACAACCAAGGCATCTTCCATCGAAGCCCCTGTCCAAATAAAGCCAAGTATTTGTAGATCCAGGTGACTTGTTTCTTAGTTTCCCTGACATCTGACTGGTACAGGATGGACTAGATACCTCAGACCAACTGATTGGACAAAGATTTAGTCAAATGATGGATTTAAATCCAGATAGATCCATCATTCGCTTCATGAATGGACTGAATGGCCCATTTGGAAGGCAGATTTGTTTTTTGCTACTTAGAAACAGAGGCACCCAAGCCCACCTGTATGAGGTCTTGGCTGCTTCCGCGTCTGTCTGGTTGGAGCCGGTGTGCATGCCGACTCTGAGCTCCGTGAGGGCAGCCCCAGAGTCCGGTTCCGGTTCTGCTCCCTGCTTTGTCTCCAGCCCACAGCACAGTGCTTGGGGCTGAGCAGGCGCCCAGCCCACAGGCCGCACCGGCTGACGTGGCACAAAGAAAGGTTCTCCTTCAAACATTTTCGGGTCCGTTTCTTCTCTAGGGCATCTTGACCCAGCGGAGAAGATTGCAGACGCACGTCCCAAGTTGTGGTGTGCGCTGAGTGAAGGCAAGGTGGTTGTATTCGACGCCTCCTCATGGACCATCCTCCAGCACTGCTTCAAAGTGGGAGCTTCGAAATTGGTGAGTACTCAGAAGACCACCCAATCCCCGCCATTTCTAGGGCTCCCAGGTTGAAGTGTGGCTTTTCATAAGCAAGCCCGCCCACCTGCGCATGACAGCGAGACACACATCCCCCCAGTGGTGCGCGGCCTCCGCAGATAGGTGTTTACTTCTCGTTGGGGTCTCTCAACTCAGTCTGTCCACGTTCTCTACCCTTCTCTCTTCTCCCTCCCTGCCTGCCTGTTCCCAACTTCAAGAAAATTGGCTGTGGCTGCTTTTGGCCACTCCTGCTTAAAGACTTGTTTTGTATTTTCAATTAAACTACGCTCTTCATAGTTCTTGTTCCTTTTAATTCATGAGTACGGTGCCATCCTACGTTGAAACTGCATTTATACTTTAAAATGCTTCCACATCGATCCAGTGGGCTTCATCCTGCTTGTTGTGGTTTGTAAACACGACTCTACTGCGTGTCTCACACCGCTTTTGTCAATTCCGCTTTTTACAGGGCGATGTTATTGACGGCAGGCAGAGAGATCGGTGTGCGGCCCTCCCTCAGTCCATGCGCCGGTTTCCACCACCATCCCCGTGCCTGGTTATCACTAAGACACTTTGGTCTCCATGCGTTTACCTTGCCTTGCCTTGTTATAGACGCGAGGTCATAGGATAACTGTCCTTTTGTGATTGGTCCGTTTCGTTCAGCACAATGCCTTCCAGCTCCATCCACACCCTAGCATGTATCAAGACTTCATTTCTCCCACTGGCTGAGTGGTGGTCCATTTTATGGATGGACCATGTTTCCATGATCCATTCATCTATTGATGGCATTTTGGTGGTTTCCATCTTTTGGCTGCTGTGGATAGGGTTGCCGCAGTGAATATTGGTGGACAAATCTTTCTTTGAGTCTTCAAGTCTTTGGGGTACATGCCTAGGAGTGGAATTGCTGGGTCGTATGGTAGCTCTGGTGTGGAGTCCTGGGTTAGCACTATAGTTCTGGCGTCCTGATGTGGCGCTGGAGACAGGGTCACTGTGACTTGGAAGTGACTTGACAGTATATAACAACAGCAGTATTTTCCGTTTTTGAGGAACCCCCACACTGTTCTCCACAGCATCTGTACCGTTCTCAGAGGAGCCCCCACACTGTTCTCCACAACATCTGTAACGTTTTCTGAGGAACCACCACTCTGTTCTCCACAACATCTGTAATGTTCTCTGAGGAACCACCACACTGTTCTCCACAACATCTGTACCGTTCTCAGAGGAACCCCCACACTGTTCTCCACAACATCTGTACCATTCTCAGAGGAACCCCCACACTGTTCTCCACATCTGTACCATTTTCTGAGGAACCCCCACACTGTTCTTCACAACATCTGTACCATTTTGCATTCCCACCAGCTGTGGCTAAGAGTTCTAATCTCCCCACATTCTCACCAACATTCATTTTCTGTTTTGTTTTGGTCTTAGCCATCCTAGTGGGAGTAGACTGGCCTCTCTCTGATGATAGATGATGCGTAGCGTCTTTTCACGTTCGATGGCCATTTGGCCTCTTTGGTAAAATGTCTGTTCAAGTCCTTTGTTCATTTAATGATTGGGTTATTTGTCTTTTCTGTTAGTAAATTGTCAAAAGTTTAATTTGTATTTTTGTTACTAGATTCATGTTGGATATATGGTTTCCAAATATAGTCTCCTACTTAGTAGCTTCTCTTTTCAGTTTTTTGGTATACTTTTTTTTTTTTTCAATGTTTTATTGTGAATTATGTGATAGTTTACATGGGAGAACATTAGTTTTACATTCATCCTATTGTATATCCTTTCATTGCTATGGTTACAGTCCCCTCCATGCATCAACAAGTCTGCTCCCCCCCGCCCCCCAGTCATCAGCACACAGCTCCTCTCCCTCTCTGTTTCTAAAGTCCCCAACAGCTCCATCTCAGGCATCACTGCTTCTCTGGGTAGGGTCCCGCTCTCTGCTCTTCTCCCTTGATGGTCCTAGGGACCTCTGCTCCTAGACTAAAAAGTTAATCACTCCCCTCCTTGCTACAAAAGTCTACCTTTACAATTCCAACCCTCACAAGCAGTCCTGATAACAATTATTCACTATTGTATCACAAGAGACCCATCCGCATTTCTGGTATACTCTTTTGATGAAAAAAAGTTCTTCCTTTTTTGGGGTCCCATTTATATATTTTTTAGTCTTTTGAGCTGGTGCTTTTGTTATTAGATGAGTCCATTGTTGAGTGCTAAGCCTGAATGTCGCCCCAGCTTGTCCTTCTAAGAGTTCGGTGGTTTCAGTTTGCATATTTAGGTCCTTAATCCATTTAGAATTTTTGTGTATGGTGTGAGCCCTCCCACTTGTTCTCTTCTTTCCACACTGTCTTAGCCATTCCATATAAAGTAGAGGGTTGCTGTTACTGTTTCTGTAAAAAAGAAAGGCTATTGAAGTTTTGATTGGGATTACATAAATTTATAGATTGCTTTGGATGTATTGACGTTGTAACAATATGTAGTCTTCCAATCCATGAACATGGAACATCTTTCCAATTATTTTAAGTCTTTTCTCTATTCCAGTAGTGTTTTGTAGTTTTCTTCACATCCCTGGCTAGCTGTACTCCTAGGTATTTTATTATTCTCTGAAGTGTGATCATAAATGGAATTGTTTTCCTAACTTCCTTTTCAGATTTCTCATTGCTGATTTTTGTTTGTTGATTGTGTGTCCTGCAACTTGGCTAAATGCTTCTGTTAGCTCTAGAACTCTCCAGGACTCTTGGGGACTTTCAGTATCTAGGATCACACCATCTGCGTAGAGAGAGATGACTTCTTTTTCAACGTGGGCATCTTTTCTTCGTTTCTCGTGTCATGTCGCTCTAGCTGGGACTTCTCACGCAGTATTGAGCAGAGTGAGGAGAACAGGGCATCCTTGTCTTGTTCTTGATTTTAGGGGAACTCTCAGTGCAATGCTGGCTGCTGGCTTCTCACTATGCCTCACAGCATCCGGAGGAATTTCCCGTCTGTCTAAAGCTTCTTTTGAGTTTTCGAGAAATGGTGTTGGCTTGTATCAAATGCTTTTTCTACATCTATAGTGATGACCATGTGATTCTATCCCCTTGTTCTAGTACATTGATTGATTTCCTAATACTGAACTCTCCTTGCATTCCTGGACTAAAGCCCACTTACTTGGTGTGTATGATCTGTCTAGTATACACTGAGTGAAAGGATGCTGGATTACATTTGTTAGTATTTTATCAGATACATTGTTGTGTCGTTTCCATGTTAGCTTCCATGTTAGCTTCATAGAATGAACAAGGGAATATTTCTTCCTGCTCTCTTTTGGAAAAGTTTAAACAGTGTTGGTACCAATTCTTTTTGGAGGGGTTGGTAGAATTCCCCAGTGCAACCATCTGGTCCAGGATGGGGGTTTTTTTGTTTTAAGTGAAAGTTTACAGGGCAGATCAACAGTTTTACATTCAACAAATCACACACTTTGTTTCATTACAATGATTATAATCCCCTCCATGTACCATGTACCTCCAGTTAACAGTATTTCTATTCAGTTTAGCCCTTTGTTTTGCCCCCAACACTCAGGCACATATAATAATTTAAGTCACCAAAGGGCACACTCTGCAAGCCTGCTGCCAGCTCTCAGTCCCTCTCTTCCCATGAATCTAGAGTCCTCAGCTGCTCCCTCACTCCATGTCCCCATTTCTGCCTCCGCCTCTGGTATCGTTGCTTTTCTGAATGGGGTCCCACATTCCACTTGTGCGCTTCTCCCTTGATGGTCCTAGGGTCCTTTGTTTCTGGACTGTAAGATTAACCACTCCCCTGTTTTTGTTACAAAACTTCTACCTTTACAATTGTGACAGTTACTATTAAATCATTAAGAATCTTATCCCCATCTCTTTTCACCACACCCATCTAGACAAGATGAAAACTATTCAGTGGGGACTCTTTCTCCAGGACATTTTTTGTTGGGAGGTTTTTGACCTTTAATTGATTGATGTCTCTCACTTTATGGGTCTATTGAGACTTTGTTTCCTCGGGGCAGGTTGTGTGCTTTTAAGAATTTGTCCATTCCACTTCGGTTACCCTGTTTGTTTCCATATAGTTATTCACTATTCTGTTCTAATTCTCTGTTTCTGTTGGATCATTTATAATGTCACCTCTTTCATACTTTCATCTTTTCAAAGTAGTAAGACATAGTGAATATCCAATGACAAAATAGGAACCATGATAGAATAAATGAAAATATTTTTTGCTTTTGACCAACTCCTACTATTCCCCCCACTCCAAAAAAATGCCCCAGGAGGAGAAATTTAATCATTCTTATTCTAAATAAAACTGAAAGTCTCTGCTACCCTCCCTCAAGTAGTCCAGAAAACATTTAGTTCTAACAGTGTTACCCCGGTTAGGTGAGAGCTTTTTAGCTTTTCACAGACTTGTTTTGTACCATTCAATAAGAAACTTGGATAATTGTCTCAAAACATTGTTGCCTCCTGGAAATTTGAAGTTCAAAGTTGTTTGTCTAAAGGAAAGGCTTTTTTAGGGTAATTCTGAGGTTAGCTATGTTTTGGAAAAATTAAATTGATGTCAATTTTTATAAACCCCTCTCCCCACTTGAGGATAAGGAATAATTAGCCACCACTGAAATGACTACATCTGGTGTAACCTTGTCTCCTGTCTCTCCAAGGGTGCAAAGTCGTGCCAGGTTTCTGCCGCTTGCTTTAGTGAACATGTCTGCGGCCCCCTTCTCTGACAGGTCCCCGCAGGTCCAGCCCGACCCCGTGTGGCCTAACCTCTCCTCTCTGAAATCTGTATTTAAAGTAGGGAGGCGGTTGGCGGTCAGGTGAGGAAGCCAGAGCACGCTGTCTCATCTATGAGACTTTTACAGCTCTTAAACATTTTAATCCTGAGTTACAATTTCAGAAAGTCTAAGCATGTTCTGTCACTGGCTTTGCTAAGCCAGAGGCTCTGAAACGTTCTCTGGCTCCCCAGCCTACGTGGTGTCTGCCTTTTTGACATTGACTCTGGCTTCCCGCTAGAACTGCATGGTGATGGCCGAGCAGAACCAGGTGTGGATTGGCTCCGAGGACTCTGTCATCTACATCATCAACATCCACAGCATGTCCTGCAACAAACAGCTCACTGACCACCGGGCCAGCGTGGTGGATTTGGTCATGTCAGATGGAGAGATGGCGCCCAGGTACCAGGGTGCTCCCAAGAGTGCTGCGGGGCAGGGCTCGGGGCCCAGAGGGAAGGGCCTCTCCTCTCCCCTGGAGTCAGATTTGTGTGAGGTCTAAGTTTGCAGCTGGCTCACTTACCATGCCCTAGTTCTCCCCCCACACCCACCCCCCATTTTTTTAAGTCACCTGTGGGCCAACAAACTCTGTTCTGGTCCCCAGGGCACGTCCCTCCCACCAGGCTTCCCCAGGGGCTCTCTTGGGTGTTTCCTGTATGTTGTGGTTTGGGGTCATTTTAAACCCACCTGAGTAACACAGGACAGTGTCCCCTGAGGTGAGAGTCAAAGAAAGGTGTTACCACTGAGTCGACCCTGACCCATGATGCCCCGGTGTGAGTCAGAGTGGCCTTTCCTGGAGCCCACAGGGTGTAGCCGGTTAACAGGCTCGGCTGCTCTCCTCAAGGTTGGAGGTTCAGGCCCACCCAGAAGGCACGATGATCTGCTTCCAGGAAAATCACCCTCTGGAAACCCTGAGGGGAAGTCAGACCCTTGGGTTGACACCAGGACGGCTGGCTTGTCCATGGTGCTCACCACCTGTGGTGTGGGGACTTTGTCTCGTGGTGACTTTGCACTGTGTGTTCACGTCCCCAGTGAGGTGTACTCCTGCAGCCGAGATGGCACAGTGCTGGCCTGGAACGTGAGCACGCTGCGGGTTACCAGCAGGTTCCAGGTGCCGGGACGAGCCCTGACTTCTGCCAGACTCCACCAGGGCCACCTGTGGTGCTGTAAGTCTGCCGCGTCTCCCGCCACAGTGGGGTTTCGGTGAGAGTCAGGTGTACCTGAGCATTCCTCGGGGTGCAGATGGGTCCTCAGATACCTCTTCCCTGGGACACTCAGCCCGCTATGCCCTTCCTTTCAGAGGGACCCACCCTACTCAGTAAGACTTACCCATGGAAAATGCCGTCGAGTCATTGCCAACTCAGAGCCTCCCTGAAGGGTTTCCAAAGGCTTCAGTGTGCATGGAAGCAGACCGCTGCTTTTTCCCTTGGAGCAGCGGATGGGTTTGAACCACCGACCTTTTGGAAAACCCTATCCCCCAAACAAAGCACCGAGTCTAGGGCTAGAACAGGTATCTGGGATATTGTTCTGTTCAACTCCAATACTGAACTAGAGATGAAAGCTCACCACACTGGCTAGATGCATTTATGCATTTCCAGTTCCTGCTTTTCAACTCTGATCCTTTTTCTGTTTCTTGCTGCTGACCCAGGTCCCCCCACCAACCCTTGGACTCATGGCCTGCCTGCCCCTCTGCTACCCCACCGTCCCTGGGGATGAACCCAGCTCAGTGTCCACCCCATCACTGCCCCACATGTGAGGGCTGGCCAAGGCATGTCCCCTCTGGTGTCAGGTTATTCCAACCGTCAGAGAGCAGCCGTGGTCCAGAAGTGTCAGTCCTTTTTCTAATCGAAGCACAAAGTACACGTTTAGAACGGGGGCATCCTTGTGAGATTCCTGCCCTAAATGATTGTTGGACTGTAAACAGAAAGGTCAGGGGTTCGAACCCAGCAGTCAGTGCCCTGTGGGGCCACTAAGAGGCGGGAATCTATGGACAGCAGCTGGTTTCTGTGAGTTGCCTGCGAGCTGATTGTGACTCCTGACACCCTATGTGCAGATTAGAACTGCTTCACGGGGCCTCAGGGCTGTGACCTTCTGGAAGCAGAGAGCCGGTCTCTTTCTTCAAGGCACCTCCGGGTGGGTTTGACCTGCCAGTTTTTTTTTTGGCTAGTGGTCCTTTTTCATCCTTTGTGCCACCCCAAAATCTCCACACACCTACTATGACGGTCATTTTGAGATTTCTCTTTTCTCCTCCCAGTGTACTGGGGTACATTTTTGTGTGGAAAATCAACTTAGCATTCTTGAAATAAGCCCTTGACTCGAACAGTGTAGTGACAGACCGTGTAGGAGATCTGTACATGCTACTTACTGATCCTGTACCTTTCTTTTCTCGTTACGTCCTGGTTGGGTTTTGGCATCCGAGTTCATGAAAAGTGGAATGAAAAAATCAGGGGATTTTTCCACCAACTTTTTAAAGCCTCCTTGGATACGTTGGTTATGAAGTGCTGTTGAGTTGGTTCAAACGCATAGTGACCCTGTATAAGGTTTCTGAGGAGCAGTTGGTGGGTTTGAACCACCTGACCTTGTGGTTAACCATGCTTACCCTATAGAGCTACACCAGGATGCCTCCAAATGGTCTATAGACAGATCTATAGATAGCGTGGATTACTGTTGGCTAGGGAGCCCTGGTGGTGCAGCAGTTAAAGCACTCAGCCGTTAGCATGAAGACTGATGCCTTGGGGCAGTTCTTGTCTGTCCCACGTACTGGACACTGGGTCTGCTTTGGCTTTCCCTGACGTCCCCAAGGACAGGGCCTGTGTCGGCTGTATCGCTGATGCGAACACTATAGCCTGAGCCCACCAGCTGCTGGGGCGCACAGTGAGCGCTGAGCCGTGCCTCACTACACCCGAGCTGGCGCTACTGTCTGCAGCTTCGATGGCACAAACAGTGAGCGCTGAGCGCACGGTGCCTCACTACACCCGAGCTGGCGCTACTGTCTGCAGCTTCGATGGCACACACAGTGAACACACTCAGCTCTGAGAGGGCACGCCTGGGTGCCCTCCATAGCCTTTCTGCAGACCAGCTGGCGTCAGGGTGGATCTAGGTCCCGTGGGCATCTCCCTGCAGTGGGCACCCTGAGGCCTGGGCATGCTGGTTGTCTGGCCACCCCGGGCCCTGGTCACTCTCTTCGTCACTGGGTGGGTTATTATGCTTAGGTCTTGCTTTGGCTTCTAGTGTAAAAAATCCAAAACAACTACAGGATCGAGCTGGAAAGCTGGCATGGCTGCTCCCCAATTTCAGTAAAGTCTCAGAAGGTGGGCTGATGGGGTCGGGGGAGACACGGTAACTGCCCGCTCTGCCCGATGCTCTCTGCAGGCACGGGGGACAGCATCGTGGTGGTGACACCGAATGGATTCTTTCGTCAAGAATTGAAACTCCAGGAGCCAAGCAGCATCTTCCAGCTGATTTCAGAGGTGTGGAGAGGTGGGCAGAGAAGCGGGAGGCAGTGCCCGGGTGTGGGGGCATTAACGACTGTTGGGTTCCAGCAGGAGCAGCTCTGGGCGGCCTGTTCGGGGTGCAGCGAGGTCCTCATCTGGAGTCTGCGGGACCTGGACCAGCCCCCTGAGAGGATCCCCCTGCAGGACTGCGTGGAGGTCAGCTGCATGATCAGAGTGAAGAAACAGGTGACGTGTCTGGGCTGCACCCCGCCCCCACCCTCCAGGCCCCTTTCTCTCTTGGTGGGAATGGACAGAGCTTGGCATTCAGTAGTTTTGAGGGTCCCAGATCTCAGGCTGATGCCCTCGTGTCTCCTGACAGATCTGGGTGGGCGGCCGGGGACCATCACAGGGACAGCCCAAAGGGAAAATCTACGTGATCGATGCTGAGAGGAAGACGGTGGACAAGGAGCTGTTGGCACACGCAGACTTGGTGACAACTCTTTGCTCGGCTGAAGACCGCTATGTGCTGAGTGGCTCTGGCAGGGGCGAGGGCAAGATTGCCATCTGGAAAATCGAGTGAATGAGGGTGAAGCTCCCATACTGGGTTCCCGGCATAGTCCCATCTGCTCGGATGTGTACCTCACAACCCTGCGCTCTGTCTCGACTCTCTGGCTCCCATTGTGCGAGTGAGGACGTTTCGGGGTGTTTACTGACAGTCAGCCAGGTCCAGCTAGAGAGTTCTGGAATTCAGGGGAAGAGAGCCAGAATCGGCTCACACGGTGCTTGATTCATTCCCCCTCCCGTTACTCCACAAACAGCACCAGGTGTCTGTCGGGTCTGGGGACACCTCAGGGACCCTTACACAGATTTCCTGCAATGTGGGAGAAGACCCCTTAGGGGCGGCTCCTCTGGGAACATGTAGCCACTGCTGTCCTGAGGCGCTCTGTACAGGGTCGGGGTCTGGGAGGTGGGCACTCCGTCTGTTTGTTTCTGATGACAACACCCTTCCATCGTGGAGTGACTGTTACCTTTGGTAGACAAAGCGCCCATCCTGTGCCATGAACCTGACATTTGTCCACGTTTCAACACCTTGACTCGTCGACACAGTGTGTGTACAAACAGATGGTGCTTGGTTGTTATGCTGACAAAGATCTGACTCCATGTTTGCACATTTTTGTTATGATGTTGAGACTTGGTTCCAACGTGGAAGGTTGCATTGGTGGTTGGAGGCATATGGGCGCATGGCTCATCACGTGCTCTGCCGCCCTAGCCCACATGTGCTCACTCTGAGGACGTTGTCCAGCTCTGATCAAGGCCGTGTTGCAGAAGACGGAAATCATGAACCCACAGACTGGCATTAGGTCTTGGTTCAGGGAACATGGGCAGAGAGGAACTGTGGGCCTGATTCCACCCTGAGGTCTGCACTGTGGAAGCAGCATGTCCCCCAGCTCCTGGGAGCTCAAAGAGCAAGAGGTTGGGTTTTAGGAAGTGAAGGTGAGAGTCTGTTAGAAGTGCACGTGGGATGAGGTATTTTCTGCCTGTTACTAAGAAATAATAAACTCTTTTCTCAAACACATGCTGATGTCCAGTGTCTATCCTCTGTCTGGTGTGAGCCGGGGGAAACGTGGTGGTTAACTTTGAACTGGCCGTGCATTCACTCTGAGCTCAGGCAGGTGAGCCTGTGGAGTGGTGCCCTTCGTTCTTGGAGGCATTTTCCAAGATCTTATTTGACGGCAATGACATTTGAAACAACGAAAAGCTTTTCAGAAATGGGCTTTGATGAAAGAAAGAGAAGCAAACAATGGCCCTGCAAATGGCCGAGAGCTGTTTCTGTTGCCTTGTCCTGGTGGGGTAATGGACACCAGAGCCAAGGACACCTGAGTCTGCCTTCCCTTCTCTGTGCTGACCCCACGAACCCCACACCGATGCCTCACAGCCCTGGTGCACTGCTTCCGTTCAGTTCTCCAACTGTCGTGGCTCCAGATGGTTCCATGACAGAAGCTGCAGCGATGGGCGCGTGGTGATATTCGCGGGAGGTGATGTTCGCAGGAGGCGTGCGTGCCCCGGACATGGATGATAGGATACCACTTCTGTCACTTCTGGAAGGTTCAGCCCTCGTCTGTGGGGGCTAACATTTCTGCAGTGTTGTGGTGGTCCTGTGCCCACAGGCTGCAGCAGGGTCTAATGGGACCCTGACCATGCACAGGGTTTGGGGGTCCTGTGACTTTGATCCTCTGGAACACGGGGATGTTCCTGCTTGCAGGATTGAGGGAGGGTCCTCTTAGCATGCAGGTCAGGAAAGGTCCAGCTCCTGGCAGCTTGCTGGGCTCTGGGAACATTGGCAAAGATGGGAAATATGAGTTCGCTACTTCCTGGATGAAGTTGTGAGCAGGCATGGAGACAGTGCTGATGCACAGGGACCCTGTGTCAACAGGTCTGATCTGTCCTCATCTAGGGGGCTCCTCCCCAGGCACTGTCGGACTGTGGTCTCTCGTGATCAATAAAGGTTTCATTGGCTTCTATTTGGAACACAGGCCTTCTCTTAGTCTGGAAGCTCTGGTGGAACCTGTCCACTGCGGGGGACCCTGCTGGGATTTGAAAGACTGAGGATGGAGCTTCCTGCATTCCAGCAACATGCAGCCACCATGGGACGGCACACCGACCAGCGGGGGTGTGGTGAAGTACTGTTGAGTCCGTGGCAACTCTGCGACCCTGTCCAGGGTTCCCGAGGCTGTAAACCTTTGCGGGAGCAGAAAGCCTCAGCTTTTTCCAGGAGAGCAGCTTGTGGGCTTGAACCACCGACCTTGTGGTTCACAGTGCAGTGCTTACCCAGAGTGGGGGTGGCACAAGGGGTCAAATAGCAGTCCCCTGATGCCTGCACATGGGACCTTGCAGATGCAGTTAAGTGAGGTCATCCTGGATTGAGGGTGGGCTGCCAGCCCAGCGAGGGGCGTTCTCTGTAAGTGATAAAGCAGAGACGGGGACAGTCCACCGAGGCCACCAGAAACTGCAGGAGACAGGGCTCCTCTGGAGCCTTCGGAGGGAAGGCCGCCTGCAGAGGTGAGACACAAGTCCCAGGTGGTGGTCATCTGTCACGGCAGCCCCAGGGAGCTGATGCTGTTATGTGACCCTCGTGTACTGAACAGGTTAATTAGGAAGCTCAGCTCCCATAAGGAAGATGTGGGGCTTCATGCTGCTCATTCAAGTCTGGGGTTGGTTAGCAGCCCGGGGCTGGCAGAGCCCTTGTCCGGCTGAGGGAGGACCCTTGGGTGCGGTCGTTGAGAAGCATCAATGGCTCTTCTTCCCACGAAGGTCAAGAGGACACAATCTGTGGCCTGTGGTGGTCAGCAGGGACTGATGGGAAGGCCCAGACAGGATGAAGCACGACAGAGTGCTGTTAGCTGAGTCTGGATGCTGTGGTGTTGTGTTGTTAAGTGCCGTCGAGTCAATTCCGACCCCTAGCGACCCTGCATAGGGTTTCCGAGGAGCAGCTAGTGAGCTTGAACCACCAACCTTGCAGTTCAAATGGCTTTGCAGTCTGACGCATTAGCCCACAGTACCATACCAGGGCTCCGTGTGGACAGCCACAAAATGGGGTGTTAATACAGGCAGGAAAGGAAGGGCAGAGGAGGGACTCAGCTGTGAGAAACCCGAAACAGTGAGCTGGTTGACTTACAGCCAGGTCTCCTTCAGGTCCCTGCTGGGAATCCGTGTCTCTGTCCCAAATACACTAGAGCGAAGGTTAAACAGGACCCTCGTACTAACAAGATTCACAAAGGAATCACTTGTGGATCAGATCAGATCGGATCTTCTTAACATGCAGATTCTGATTCAGGTTATCCTGGGAGTAAGGGACGTTCTTAGCAGGGGCATTGAACTGGAATGAACCAGCTCTTGTTGTTAAGGGCCGAGGAGTCGGTTCTGACCCATAGCGACCCTGTACAGGGTTTCCGAGGCTGTAAATCTTTACGGGAGTAGAAAGCCTCATGTTTCTTCTGTGGAACCGCTGGTAGTTTCGAACTGCTGATCTTGTGGTTCACAGCATGACTCGTAACCACTACGCTACCAGAGCCAGTCAGCTCTTAGCCCTGCTTAAAACCAACCAGATGAATGATGATATTAAGTGTAAACATACTAAACAGTCTGATTAGAAGACAGACTGTTAAGCTGCATTAAAATAAGATCCAATTACATGTCTTCTACAAGAAATGCTTACTGATGAAGTTTAAATACTTACTGATGTATTACTTACTGATGAAGATCAAAGAGCACAGCCTTCGGTATGGATTGCACCTCCATGTAAAGAAAACAAAAATCCTCACCACTGGACCAATAAGCAACATCCATATAAATGGAGAAAAGATTGAAGTTGTCAAGGACTTCATTCTTCTGGGATCAACTATCAACACTCAAGGAAGCAGCAGCCAAGAAATCCAACAACGCACTGCATTAGGCAAATCTGCTACACAAGATCTCTTGAAAGCGTTCAAGAGCAAAGATGTCAGTTTGAGGACTAAGGTGCCCCTTGACCTAAGTCATTGGTATTTTCAGTTACCTCATATGCATGTGAAACTTGGACAGTGAATAAGGAAGACTTTAGAAGAACTGATGCCTTTGGGTTCTGGTGTTGGCGATAATATTAAAAGTACTATGGACTTCCAGAAGAACAAGCCAATGTGAGTTGGAAGAAGTACAGCCAGAGTGCTCCTTAGAAGCCAGGATGGCCAGACTTGGTCTCTCAGACTTTGGACATATTATCAGGAGGGACCAGTCTCTGTGGAAGGACATCATGCTTGATAAAGTGGAGGGTCAGCGAAAAAGAGGAAGACCCCCAACGAGCTGGACTGGCACAGTGGCAGCAGCAGTGGGCTCAAACATAGCAATGATTGTGAGGAGGGTATGGGACCACGTAGTGTTTGGTTCTGTTGTGCATACGGTTGCTATGAGTCAGTACTGACTTAATGGCACCTAACAAGAAGAAGAAGAAATACACTTTAAATATTAAAAACATTAAAAACACATATGGTACCAAAGGAAAAGAATAAAAAGATAGCGCATGCAAAGAATACGCATAGAAGGTTGTATAACTTCAGTTCAAACTATAGAGGAAGAAATGAACAGATTAGGAGGTCAGGGATTCAAAAAGACAGAAAGCAAACGTAGCAAAACTATAGAGGAAAGAAGTGAATCCACAATTATAATTGGAGATTTTTAGCACTCTCTCAGTAATTGACAGAACCAGTAAAAAATTAGCAAAAGCAAAGGTTTCACAACACTATCGACACCCACTAGACCTGACACCCTACCCCCAACAATAGCAGAACATACATCCAAGCGCTTCTAGAATGTTCATCAAGCTAGGCCACATGCTGGACCATAAAACAGGAACACAACATTTGAAAATGAAGTCTTACAGGACATGTTCGCTGACCGCGATGAGACGAAATTACGTTATCAACGGCAGTAAAAGAGCTAGAAATCCACAAGATAAAATTGTGCTGGAAATGAAACAGTATACCTCTAAATAACCCTTATGTCTAAAACAGAAATTTTTTATTCTGAACGAAATCATACTAAAAA